CAGTTTGTTTCAGTGTTCGTTGTGCATAAATTGATTTTTAAAATGTACAGTAATTTACTTTACCTAAAATACCGTAAGATCGTTCTTCCAAAAAAAAATACAGCGATTAATTCTCCAGTCAAACATAGAATTTTACCAGTGTGAGTACTATAATAGCAAGAATCATCCGTCGAGTAAAAAAATCAATCATTCGAACTACTTCTTATCCTAACCTCATCTTTTTGAGGCATGACACGAATTTTACCGAGGCATTAAAATTGATGAAAAATAATTTAACTCGGATTTATTTCCTAGGCTCATTTACGAAATACACCAGGAATTTGAACAAACTTTTGGAAAACGGATGAAAAATTAGGGTAAAAATAATGCAAATATGTAATTCAATAATTTCATGGATCCTGATCAGTACATGTCATTTCAAAAGAAAAATTCGTACGCTCAACAAAAATCTTGAGTTTCGAATGAGAAAATGCTGGACTCGCAAAAAAAACGGATCCCATTTTTAAAAAAAATTTAAATATCCTGCTGATATATTTTTGGGGAAATTTCCCGATAACCCTAAAAAAAATATGTGCGGAAAATTCCACGTACACATAGATCCTATCGTCGTCTATTTTTCCTCTTCTTTTTTGTTTGGTTGGTACAAAACACCGGTTTGTTCTCGTTTACGCTCAACAACATTGATCCCCAACCACACACGCGATGCTATCGTCAATACAGTGAACGGAACATTAACAAACAGACAAGACCGCCTAAAGAAATCCTTAAAATAAGGAAAACAAGAAATAAACTTTTGTTTTAGAAAATAATAAGAAGAAAGAAACCACAGCTGAGCTCCATTTTTAGTCGAGTACTACCAAAGAGACGCACACGAAAAAATATATATCCGTCGATCGATGTAATCATTGGGCTTCAACCCCGACTAATCCGGTTCACTGAAACTATTTCAGTATTTACTTTCTACCGAGTTTCATCTCGGCAAATGGGGGCCAACTTCAAAAAATTGAAGCTCCAACAAATTATAAAACCAAATAGAAATGGAAGCACGCAAGAAAAAATGAGCGTTAATGACGCAGGAAGGCGCGGAATTTTGATGCAGACGTGCAGCTGTTTTTGTTCTCGCCTTCACGGAACAGCAGCTCAAAGCCTGTTTATTTTTGTTGTTGTTGCATTTTTGTATGCACGGTATTCTTTTTTTCTACCCGCTATCTCATTACTGCGTATCATGTGTTCATTTTTTCAAAAGTGTGTAAATCGTTCGTGTGGATACTATGACGCATCAGTGGCTGGCACGCGATTTCTTAATTTCCACCCATGAACGCCTGCGCCCTGATCAACTTTCTGTAAGGAAATGTTGAGCTACTATAAGAAAGTTCAGACGTGTTGATGAATGAAAAAAGATTAAATGACCGATATTCAAAATTAATCAAGATTCAAAAAAAATATCTCCCGATTTTCTGCTGTTGTTCGGGACACAGAATAAATATTTGTCATAATTAATGAAGGAATTCCGCAGTGTTGGATGTCTTATCTTCAGGGATGTCACTAATACCTTGAGTAAAGTATTAAAATGATAATTTGCGTCTGTTGATGTGCTATAAAAATGTAATGTGAAAAAACTAGGCGAGATTTGAGCGAAAAAGTTGAGGAAGTTTAAAATCTCCCCAAATTCTTGTTTCTGAAGAAAATCCGTCCTCAGTAAGAAAATCAAGAGTTTTCTTCTTGAAGTCGAGAAGGTTTGAATTACGTCTTCAAGAATAAAATTTTTTGATTTTTCTCCTTGAGGAGAAAAAAATCGAAAGCTGAGGAGGTCTAATTTACGCCTTCACGAAGAAAATCCTTCAATTTTCATTCGTGGGTAATTCAGGGTATTTTAAACCTTCCCAACTCGAAACTTCTTGTCTTAAACTTTGCTTAGTTTAATTCCACATTGAATTTGTGCTATCTTTACTAATAAAGTTACTTAAGTCCGTAGGAAAGTGTGTACCCACCGTTTTTTTAATTTCCCCTGCCCCGCCTCCAAGAGACCAGTGTTCCATTCCCAGAATATGCGCGGTTTTGATTTTGAAAATTGATTATAAATTTTTCATTGGGCCAAATTTTGTGATTTTTGAATATGTTATGCGCTCAGAAGTTCTCTAAATTTTCATATTTTTTTGGTCTGATAATATTGATAATTGAAGGAGTTACAAATAAAAAATCGGAACTTTTTCGAAAATTTTCTGCCCTCCAAGAACTTTCCCGCCAAAACGCACAGGCGCGGGCACCCACCCCCCAGACTCCCACAAGCCCCGCCCCCTAACTCTCCCTCCTGGGAGGGTCAGTCTTCCTGGGGAGCTCAGGCAGTAGAAACCTGAGCATTCCAGGATGTGAAGAAAAAAAAGGGTTCTTTCACTCCAGAGGGTCCCGGTTCAATCCCCAGGTAGTGACAAATTTTTTCCTGAACACTTTTTCTTTTTTTTTTGCTCTTTTCATGACTCTTTACCAATCATTTTACCAAACATACATCAAGGATGAATTTTTCTTGCTTCACATATTTTTAAATTCTACAATAGGGTTCTATGACCTGATATCCTCATTACTTATTTAATATTTTCTATGAATACTTTTCAAAAGTTTCACACCAGAATATTGTTTCTTTTTGTGACATAAAGAGTAGAAACCATGTAAATCATGGAGGTGTGCAAGAGGGTAACTGCAACAATATGCAATATGCTTAAAATAGGGATTGAATATTAAAGTTTTGCTTTATGGAAGGGCAGGTTGTAGTGGTGTGTAGGTTAGGCTGTAGTGTAGTGTAGGGTAGGTTTTAGTGTAGGGTTGGGCAGTTTGTAGTGTAGGGTTGGGTAGTTTGTAGTGTAGGGTAGGGTAGGTTGTAGTGTAGGGTAGGGTAGGATGTAGTGTAGGGTTGGGTAGTATGTAGTGTAGGGTAGGGTAGGTTGTAGGGTAGGGTGTAGTATTGGGTATGGTAGTAATTATTTAGTTATTTGATTTCATTAATTCTACTAACCATTGCCCAGGTGTGGCTGGGCACCCCCAGCTTGTTATTAGAAAGTAGCTCTCAATGACTGATCATTGTTGATCACCAACTTTCATAAAATAGTTTTTGGATAACAGCAGATAAATATGACATCATTCCTGTTCTTGATAAATTTATTATTGAGGAAGAATATTTTTGACAGAATCAACCATCAAAAACTTTTGCAGATGGATGCCAGTCCTCTGACCACTTGGGTTGCAGACATTTGCCATGTATCTTCCTCCTTGAAAGTGCAGCACAACAATATTGATTAATCAAAAGATTATTCTGCAAAACATCCAACAGCTTATGATTCTGCTTTAGGAAATGTAATTAATAATTTATGTTTTGAGTTGTGGTTGAAATCTCATAAACTCATGTCAAGAGATTCAAGACAATACACGAGGCAAGATTGCCTCAGTCCAGACTCTGTAGTGAAGACAGATGTTTAATACTTGGACAGCAGAGGGTTCCTGGCCATCCTGCAGCAAAGTTGCCATTTGTTTGGGTGAATGGGCATTTCAGTTTGACCAAAGGTCACTGAAATGCCCCCAGCTTGCCAAGGCCTAAGTTGCAAAAAATCAGGTTGCAGCAAATCCCTTTGTTTCAGGAAATCTGCAAGGATAATCCTATGCTGGGAATGCATGAAAAAACACCACCCAGTGAGGGCTTTTTTTATGCAAAATTTTTGCATGATTACAAAAATATATTGGACTTTGTACCAGCCTTGGTTCAAAAATTGGACTTTTTCAATTTTTGCAGGGAATGGGAACAAAATTTGGCAAAATATCCCAACTTGGCCACACAGGGGCTAAACTCAAACTATAGTGCACTCTAAGTAACAGATAAATGCATTTTCAAAATTGTAATTATACAATTGTTATCTTATTTTTCACGCAATGGAGACCAAATGACTGTTCCTGGTCAGATTACCTTCCACAAAATTATCAAGCTAGAATTAATTAAGTCGCAGTATTACTACAGCTGTTTATGAACACATTTTTGGCGCCCATTTCACGGAATGGAAAATTAGAAGGAGCACTTGTGGAACACGCTACCCAGGCATGTTACTTGTTTCCTTCCTTTAAAGAGTTTAAACCTTCTCTATAAGGTGCCTCGGTTTGTAAGAAAATAAAATGAAATGGAAAAGAAGTGAGACACAGACGATATTTTTTTCTCCCTCCTATAAACAGTGTTACAACCATGCGTCTCAGGGGGACGCCGATGCGAAGGCCGCCCGAGGCCAAGATTCGAGACAGTGATAAAAGTTACTGTGGGGTTGAGTAACTTCCGCATTTTCCACAGAAAACGTAAGATATGGTTGCTGTGAAGAGACAAACTTGAGAAAATTCCGAAATTTTATGATCATTTTTTACTTATGATAAATTATGGGTCCGTCTTCATTCGATGTCTGTCATCAATCGCCGAATAAATCTCTTCTTGCCTCTCGTCAAAAGTGTTCAAAGCTACAAAGATAGTTATTTAGGTCCCCAAGTTACAAAATTCCACGCATTCATAAACGTTCCGCCCTTGTAAAAATAAATGTAATTTCCATTTGTTGAAGTGACACTTATCGATTCAGTTGAAAATTCCTCTCAAGGCTTTCTTGCAACTCAATTCTTCGACGAAATAACGAACAGTGTGAAATGCTATTTATTGTTACAGAATTCAGTTGCCGTAGCAGTTCCTCGTGCCCTCAATGAAAAAAAAAATCGTCAATGCTTTCTTCTCGTTTCCTGAACTTTTTTGTATATAGTGCGTTGGAGTAATGATATCGGAACGCAGGATCGAGATGCAGGTCTGAAGACTTCATCGAAAACTGTTAATTCTCAAGAATATACTACAAAATTATAGATGAACACTCACCCTCAGTGTTTCATAACAGCAGTAGCACGATTTCTGAATTCGCTCAACATGAACCAACGTTTTAACCTTTCCCAGGTGCATTAGTTGCTTCTAAGAATCGAGAAAAAAAATCTCAGGCAGTTCTTCGCAAGACGGGAAACGCTTCGGAACTCTTTGGAGAATCATCTCCTCTTATTTACCGGTGCTTGTTGGTGACCTGCGACAAAAGCATGGAGTTGACACGTTACCTACTGCTTTTGTCCCACGGGACATCCATGTGGGACAACAGCTTGTGGTCGTTCGCGATCGGGGTGTATCTCGTGATCTTGTTCCCGGAATCGCTGGCGTTGACTGCCATCTATGGCCTGATCCTGGCGGCTTCCATACTCATCTTCGGCAGCACGATCGGCTTCTGGATTGACCACACGCCGAGACTGCAAGGTGAAAAATTCAAGGCAGAAAAATAAGAAGAGAGTGCAAGAGGGGCAATTTCATTTCACATTCGTTTTGCTCCGCGTTGGGGCTTCTTTACGAGTTACGAACTTATTGCGACTACCGGAAAACCTCGACGGAGGGAAACTGGCGCAGTTGATTGTGCAGAGTACAGACATCTACTAGCACGCAGAAAGATAAATCGTCGACTGTTTTATTCATAGTTATAGATGTCGCACCTGCTTGAAAGTGGATTACCGGTATTTTACTCCGAATTTCATCGAAGTGCAAAGTGCGAGAAAATTCAACCCCACCATATGCTCAGCAAAGTCTATGTTTAAGATAGAAGCAAATTTTTAAACCTAAGCAGATATTTGTGCCGGCCAATCGTAAAATATTCTTTCACAGTTTCAAGGTCTATAAATGTCAATTTAAAAAAAAAATGTGTAATCGCGTGATGCGAGCAATAGTACAGTATTCAACTGTTCTATACTGTATTTAAAAATCTGATATGATCTCAAATATTATTTCTTTGGCGTTTTGTAAATTTTCCTTGGTTTATTAACACATATTTCAATATTTGAATTTTTCAGAACTGGCCTAAACGGACATACACTTATTTTTCAAGGCCTGATCGATCTTCTTTCTAGATTGCCAGGCAGTGTTTTCCGAACCATGAATTTTATGTTGGTTATGTGTTCTGTTCTATTACGCTAGGGATGTACAGTACACAGATGAACCACACAGAGAAGGGAATTCATTTTCCCTCATGCAGATGTCACTAAAATAAGTTCTGCATAACTCTCTGCTGGGGAACTATGCTACAAAAATTGAACCACCCCAAAATTTTGGAAAGCACAGTATTGAAAATACAGTGAGACCCTGAGATGATGCAGAGGTAATTGGGGCTTGGACCTTGTCCCTGTGTTAGATTGTCTGCATGTTGAACCTTGTTTCCCATAGACTTCCATGCAAATATATTTAATTGGTTCTCCAGTTTGTCAAAAAATGGGAATAAGTCCTCCAAAAAAGTAATAAAAATTGTTTCCCACAACTTCATGTTATAGAAAACCACAGTGCACAAGAACACTGCATAGAATCTGATATTTTGGCATGAAAAGGAGCCTAACAAGCAAAGAACAAGAATAAGTCTTGCTAAAATATGCACAGATGACAGAAAAAACTCTGAAAAAGAAGCACAAAATCAGATTGTTTCTGTTTGTGAATTTAGAGCAATTTATATTAACATATTTTCAAATTTTTGTGAATATAAATAGTTTGCTTTGTCTGAGATATCAAAAGTAAAAAATAAAACGTTGATGTTTATGGAAAATGCCAGAAAAGTGTCCCTATCTCAAGCCAATGTCCATATGTCAGGACGGATTCTTTGGGTTTGAAGTGTCCCTAAGCCAAAACGTTTGTTATGTTGCGGTGTCCGCATATCGGGGTCTCACTGTACAAAAAAGTGAGGAAAACAAAATCTAGGGATAGGGATTGCCTGGTGTAGAAGAGGAAATATGCTTGGCAATTTTCATCCTGTATTGTAGAGTACTGTAGTGTACTTCAACCCTTCTTATACTTAAATTTTTTTATTTTGCTCATCAGCGGCCCGGATCGCATTACTGGTGCAAAACTGTTCAGTGGCTGTATGTGCTGTAATCTTGTGCATCCTGCTAACGTACTCGGACCAATGGGAAGCCGAAGGCAATCAAACGCTAATCCTGATTGCACAAATTGGCGTGGTGCTAATTGCTGACGTAGCATCTCTGGCGTCAGAAGCTCAGCGCATCATTCTGGAACGCGACTGGATCGTCATCATCTCTGGCGGGGACTTGGAAGAGCTTGCAAGTAATAAATTCTCACACAAGAAAAAAAAAATTGTCTTCTAAATTTTAGTAAGCTTTAATTTGTGACGAAAACCAAACAAGAAAAAAACGGAGAACATAGCATCCCTACTTAAGCGACAAATCCTCGTAGCTGGACTAGTGCGTCTAGGACCGCGGCAGCAACCAGCCCCAACAGTAGAGTCTGTTGTCACCTGTCGTAGCTGCCGTGTCTTTGGCTGTTTGGAATGTGATATCATTGACTGTCGAATTCTTGCTGCTTGGTTACATATTCAAGAAAGTCCCTGAGCTAGAACGTTCGCGTTCCAACTCGACATTTCCGAACAACGACACGACTGATACTGGTGAAGGTATAAGTTTTACACATCTTCTACAGTACTGTACATGCTTTTAGCAAAATCATACAAGGCAAATCGTCTTGATTTATCTGTTAATTTTCCTTTTTCGGAATCCCCGCCTTAATTTTTGAGCGGACGACATTCTCCAACGTGCTGTTGAAATTGTTCAAGTGGTTGTTAACGTGCTACGAAATTAATTATTATTATACGAGGGGTCTGACAAATGTTCACCGAATAAATACTGAAAAGGCAAACCATTGAGATAAAGAACAATTGTTTATGAAACAGCATTCTTTGGAACAAAACGAAAATGCAGCCCTGTTCGACGTATTTTTAAAAACTTTGGGCCATAGTTACCCTTCCAGCTTTCTGTTTCTAAGTCAAAACACGACGCACCCATTTTGCAGATTTTTTTGTTGTGTACCCCATCCTTCCATGCGGATTTCTTGAAATTGGCGTGGAATAACTCCCAGTGATTGCCTCTGTAAATGGATTATTCATTCCGCCATTTTCATAACAGCTGCCCCTTTTGGTGAGAATATGGTAGAAAAAACTGCCAGGGTAACTTTTCCAGGAGAATTAAAAAAAGTAAAACAGGACTGAATTGTTTTCTTGTGCCAAAAGAATGTTTCTTTCTGACCAATAATTATTTTGCAGCTCAATTGTGTGCTATTTCAATTTATATCCCTAAAATTGTTGCTAGGACCCCTCGCAGAAGTGTTGTACAGTACAGTATGTTGGTTGCGTTCATCATTGGATAAAATCAAGGATAATCGAATATAAGTGTTTTTTATGCTTTGAAAAAGTCAGTGAACAGGCTCAAAATTCCCAAGGATGACCCGACATAATTTTATCGACATTAACTCGACTCGTAATACTATAGGAATATGCTTTAATTGATTAATGTCCAACAGATTGCCAGATAGTTTAAAAAATGGAATAAATTCACCAAACATTAGAAATTGTCTGCAAAATCTGAATCGACCAGAAGAAAACTCAAATTCGGATAATTTCAATGAAACTCGGAATGAAACAGTTTTCTTTCAATCAACTGAAATTAATGCATTCTTCATCACAGTTTGAATGGTAACAGTTGTATCACTGATTTTCTGCACAGTATAATTTAAACACCTAAAAAAAAAATGTGGTGCTCATCTGAAGAAAATACAGAGAAATATTTGCGCGGCCCTTTGTGATCTTTTCCTAATTTTGTTTTCTGCACAAAATGTGCAACATAGTTTTTTCCCCCAAAAATAAAGCGAATGACTCGCGAATCACAGTCACGTCAGGTGCGTTACATTTTAGTAATGACTCATATCGATGACAAATGACTCAATATTCAAAAATTTTTCTGAAATTACTTTCACCTGTCTTATTGCAGAGTCATCAGCGAAAAGAGAAAATTGGTTGGTGCAGGCAGTAAAGGCATGGAAGCTGTACTTCATACATCCTGTATTTCCGGCTGGGTTTGGCCTAGCTTTGTTGTACATGACGGTGCTTGGATTCGATAACGTGACGACAGGTTAGAGAAATTGGAAAATGTACACGAAAAGAATCTGATCTGATTTTTTTCTGTCAATAATCCGGAATTCTCTATAAATCAGTAAGATTTTTAAATATGTGTACAGTATGACTGTTGCTTAATTTCCTTGCTGCTCACGCGTCATTTCAATTTTCCGCAGATGTTTCGAAAATTTTTGATAGATTCCAAAAATTATTCAAGATCATGGTAAACTTATGTTTGTCTGTTTTCTCTTGCTGTACAATTTCTCGTGGAATTCTCTTTAATTTTTGATAATAAAAGAAGTGGATGGACTTTGAAATCATGTTTAGCTTTTTGCTTTTTGCTGTTCAAGCCCTTGGCAAAGCACAAATGTCATAATCTATCAGAATTTATGGAAATTAGTTGTTTTGATTTTCTCAGGATACGAGCGATGTATATTTACAGTACTTTCATCAGCGTCCCGTGAAAGTAAAGTGTGAAACCCAAAAGGCTTTTGCCAAACATGACTTCTTAATTCAAGCCTCCTGTTTTCCTTCATTTTCGTCACATAGGCTACCTTTACTCGCAAGGAGTACCAGAATGGTTGCTGGGAGTCACTACCGGAGCCGGGTCAATTTTTGGGGTCATTGGGGCTATTGTGTACCCTTTCATCCGATCCCGATGCGGGTTACCTGTGACAGCCATCATCGGTTTTGCCACTTTGAACATTTTGACTTCCGGTGCGATTGTAGCTTCCTTTTTGCCCGGATCCCCATTTGAGGTGATTAAATACTGTGTCTTGACTCTTCTTTTTTTTTCCAAGATAAGCGCCGAGTTTCTTCGGAAGTCTCGGAAAAATGTGATACCGGAAACATAGTACAGTATTGATGTTTTCTTGCATATTGTTACTTAGATATTTTGATTTGAAATTTTGATTGTACACGAAATCTCACTCGATTTAAATTTTTTAATGGCTGACGCTCAGGTAAAAATACAGTACATGGGAATACAGTACTGTATATCATAAAATGGGCTGGAACTTTGTCCATGGAAATTGTGAAGTACTGAATAATCAATTATTTTTGTTGTCATTCTTCTTTTTTTGTAACCCGAAGAATCAAAAATCTGCAAAAAAATTTCGTTATGAGACTGGAAGAATTGGGGGGGGGAAACACCCGTTGTATCTGTCTAGGTCCAGTTTAAAAATACTTGAAGACATTTTTGGATTGTCCGAAGAACTTTCTAATTAGAGTACATTCAACTGATTTTTCCCGCCAGGTTTACACCGGAAGTCAAGAAGTGGCGGAGGTTCTTCCGGTCGAGAATAACCCATCGATCATCACTTTCATCGCGTGCCTCGTGGTCGGACGAGCAGGTAATTTTTCAACCACTCCGTCAGATAGATGACGCTTCCGATCAAATTTCCAGATGATATCACAGGTCTTATGTATGAATGCTTTCCAGGGTTGTGGGTTGCGGATTTAGCAGTGACCCAAAGCATGCAAGAGACCATCAAGCCTGAGCTTCGCGGAGAAATTAACGGGGTGCAATCGTCCATGAATTACTTGATGGAGGTGATCAAGTTCGGACTGGTCACTGCGTTGCCGAAACCCGGGTCTTTCGGGTATCTGATTACTGCATCCGAATGCTTCACTGTTCTCGGGTAAGAAGATAAGGACTTCTATACTTGAAAGAAAACTTCCTTTTTGGAATTTAGTTTTATACCCCATTCGAATGAACTGTTGATTTGATTGCCCAGCTAATAATGTGGAGAATGTGACTGACATGGATTCATTAGAAAGCCAAATGTTTCTTTGTGCAACACAGTTGTGAGCGTCGCACAAAAATTTGGGATAATGTCGGAATGTCCGAATATTGTAAAACATTCATCCATCGTCAATTGATTTGGATGATTTTCACGAATACTGTATTCTTTTGAGAAATTTAGAAAGCTTTCCGATTTCGGGAATTTTTTCAGGGTTTGAAAATGTCTGGAAGTTGACTCTTGGACGGGTTTTTGAGTATACCTTTGCATGATTGCTGATGCATCATCGCAACCCCCATTTTTTCTGAATTTTTAATGTTGAGAAAATGTTTCACTTAAAAAAAAAAAGCCATTTCAATCTTGAGCCAAAACTTCCAGTCCTTCACTGGTTTTGGGATTTTCAGACCATTGTCAAGAAAAACATTTTAAACTGGATTCGAATATCTCAAGTTCTGTAAATACTGTACCAGTGTTTCCCAACCATTTTTGGCCTGTGGGCCTCCAGGAAAAAATTCTTTGGACCAGCAAAGTTTCATAAAGTTTTTGCAGACTCATGAAAGTTTTGTATGAAAGACTTCATGGCAGGTATTTAAAATTTTCTTACATTTTGCAAAAATGAAGCTGAGAACCATTGAAGCTGTTGTAGTAAATGGCTTCAAAAATTGGGAAGGTGGGCTTGAAGAAAGGTTTCTCAGAATGAAACATTAAAATAAATTATTTCAGCAGGTTCAACATTGTCTAGGGTGCTATTACAGTACAAGAAAATCCAATTTTTTTTTCATGAGATAATTTCAACTTCCATTGTCTTTCCAAAATCTCAAATAAAGATAGCAAACTTCATTGCCACTTTTGATCAATTTATTAAGCTGAAAAAAATTTCCCACTGACCAATAAACAACTTTTGTGGACTTGCACCAGTCTACAGACAATGGGTTGGGGAACAGCACTGGTATACAGTATACCCTTCTATAATATTTTATTGCATGCTGTTTTTTGTGAAAATAATTTGTCTAAATAAACAACCAAATATTAATTATTGCCGCTTTGCTGGACTAAATTTGCTTTGAATGAACTAAATTGGCTGTGATTAATAAACTGATCAACATAACCGAAAATCTGCAATGATCTGACTGAACTAAGTGATCAAGAATCACTTGGAAGAGTAATTTAATGAAAGACCTGTGACCAGGCTTCACCTAAGAAATTAATTTTGTAATCCAAAAAACTCTGACTGCATACTCATGATCAACCACGGAAAATTTTGAACTGCCACCTAACTTAAATTCAAGGCATGCAGGGTATATTTAAACTAAATACTAGTGTACATTACAGTATTGACCAAATCGCCAAAACATTCTGGTCTGGGATCTTGATAAAAAAATTTTACCTGAACTGAAGGCAGAACCTCGTGGAAATTACGGCCATTTTCATGACAAGAAAGTATATCCTTCAATCATTGCCAGCAAGAAATCTTTGTCGGTTCGGTGTCTCCAACTGCACATCTTCCCAAAAATAGAGAGACAGAATTCAATTGTGGTCTCTTCTTATCGACTTGCAGTTGTGCGAACAGACTTAAGGTCCACCCCAAAACGCACGATGAAGCGAACCGACCACACCTCTTTTCGCAAGTGATGCTCCTAGGGTAGCTTATTTGACGAGTCCAGCGTTCTTTTTGAAGGCACCGTGCGGAAAACGCCGTCGCACATGTCAGCCATTGTCCAGTTTGGAAATGACATTTTTGACCAAGACGAAGAAGCGGAGGAGACGCGAAGTTTGGCACACAATTCGGAAGCAAAGGGCCATCATCAACATAACTCGGATACGGCCAAGGCTTACGGCACTTTCTAGTTTTCGAAATTACAATTTCACATATGCGCAATTTTCGGCTGAGCGGACGGAATAAACGGTTTCGTAACGTTGATTGAAACGTTTTTCACACCCACTGTGTATAACCGCATACAATATTTGGACAATTAGTCTCAGGTATTACACTTGATAACTCAAAAATCTTCCACAACATGTTGACACTGTCTCAAGACGTGAACACTCAACGAACATTTTTAGACAATTTAAATTTTTGTTAAATTTATAGTACATTATCTCGGAGAAATTTATCTTTTCATATTTGAAAGACCATTATATTCCGAATTCACTATAATCAAAATCAGTCAAAATTTGTATTGTGCATTTATAATATTCTATTGTAATTTTGTTTTGTACTGTAATGTATGATGCACAATTAAACAGTACGGTACTTGTTTTTCCACTGTTATTCCTCCCATGAAGATATTCTAACTGATGAGGAATAATGCTTATTCTTCACTTTTTGGGCTCATTTGCTTGCCAATAAATCAGATTCATATAGTTCTCTTCTACAGTGTTATTTTCTGCCACTTGAACTTGAGAAAAGAAAATAATCTTTTCTACTCCTTCGAAGATTTTTCCTCAACGTTTGATCAACAGAAGAACCAACTGAATTATGTTCCCATTAGAGTCGACGGGAAAACCAGATTCAGCATGCGACTTGGTCGACCTGGAGACAAGATAAAGGCAACAATTATGTCCTCATCTGATCCGGGTCCCCCACTGTTACATATGAATTACCAACGCATTTTGCCTGGCTAATAGGTGTCACTGCTTGTCTTACGCCGCGAGCGTCGCGCCTGAGGTTCCACGGCAATTCCGGATTATTGGATCAGAGTTTATTCAACCCCAGGTCATTCATGTTTTCCAGAAGGAAGGAAAGGAAAAATGGGTGCAAATTATTGTTAATGCATAACGTCTGTGTTTGCTCATGTGACATTTCCGGCTGAAATACACCAGCAGGGAAGGAATAACAGCCGCCGCCAAAGTCATCCAGCCGGATAATTCCCATTGGACGTGTAGAGCAATTCATTCCCTTTTTTC